AGGCATTTACTTAGCATAGGTTTTCCCAACCTGATGCCTTTTGAAACTATCAGCTAAAATCTCCCCCTAGCATGAACAACGATAGCATGTGGCTATGGTTGCACATGGTCATAAAATGTGTGAAGAGAAAATCTATCAACTATTTGCCTTATTAATTTGTGAAATCAATGAAACTATTGCAGATTATTAACTGTCCAATGTAATGCATATCTTTTCAGAAGAGTTTAATTGGACTTACATAACATAAGCATAAATGAAACAGAAATGAAAAAGTGAAATTCTATGCAGATTTAATCTCTCTGTCTATCTCAGTATGTTTTACTGAGTTTAAAAAGAGAGATGTTGGTCTTGATATATAAGATCAAATAATTAAACATCTGCCGGATTTCTTAAGCTATTTGGGTTTTGTAAAATGTTATGTTGCCTTAAACATACTTAAATCTTCCTTATATCATATTTTTCAGAGTATAAGATGCACCAAGATTTTGAAGAGGCAAATTAAAAAAACATTTTTGCACTCTGCAGACCTCCCAAAAATGGTCTGTTTTTTTTTAAAGGGCATGAATAGCTTTTAGGAAGTTTGTAAAGTGCTCCTGGGGGGTAGCCCCCTCCCAAAAATGCCCATTTTTTGTCAAAAAAAAGGGCACACATAGCTTTAGGTAGCTTATAGAGACCTCCTGGGGGCTTGGGGCGGCCAAAATTGAGCAAAAAAAAAAAAAAAACCAGCCCGTTTTTAGCTCATTTCTGCCCTCCCCAGTTCCCAGGAGCACTCTATAAGCCTCCTAATGGGTCTGCACGGCCATTTTGGTGACGGGGCGGGGTTTGGGGAGGCAAAAAATGCTGTGTTCAGTGTATAAGACGCACCCAGATTTTCAGTCTCTTTTTTGAGGGAAAAGGGTGCGTCTTATACTCTGAAAAATACAGTAATTATCAAGTACAATTTTTCTTTTTTCATAAAAATCTTTTTAGTCCTTTTGATAGCTTGCAATATTTCCATAGGTTAGTACTATGATACAAGCGAAGGCAAGAAAAATATTGTGGCACCCAAAATACTAAATATGGTTACTAATCTAACAAATAAATAGGTCAATATGGATGCTGTAAGATATTTCTGAGCGTTCAAGCGACATCAGATAACAATTGGGTGACTGCAAAATAGTTTTCTGCCATCTATTGGTCACCTGGATGTTTGCAGCCCAGATTTAGAAATCTTGATCATCACAGAGACAATCTGCCCATCTCTCAACCAGAATACTCTTTGAGAGCCGAGTTCTACTACATGAATATAATAATTCACATAAAGTGATTAGAAAATCATAGAATAATAGAGTAATAATAGAAATAAACACTATTGTCATTATTTACCAGGCCAAAGCATCCAAATTGTCTTAAAGCTTTATAATAAATAAACAAAGAACAGTTGATTTGGGCTAAGTGAGCTATTTTATAAACCCAATAGAGGAAAAGATAACTATATGTCATTGCATTCTCTGCATATGCTGATGCCTGCTGTTGAAGAAGCATTGCTCAGTCCTTAAAGCAAAGTTCTTTCGGGGGAAGAAAATTAAAACGGAAGTCTCAAGAGGACCTCCAGTGGGCAAATTTAGGAATGATCTTGACCTATAAACAATCTTGACTCAATATAGATTTCAAAAGCTTAGGGATCAGTCTGAAATTGCACAATTGTTTTATGCAGAGACTTTTACAAATAATCTAAATTTCATAATATTACACTTTTAAGCCCATACATCTTAAAAGTGTTTGATGTTGAGAAACACTGCCCAAGGGGAGACTTAGACTTACAACCCAGCAAGTTAAATTTGTGTTATTTTGTGATGTCTGAACACATTTAACTGCATTTCATTTGATATAGGGCAGGGGTGTCAAATGTCATCACGTGACGTATCACAACTTCCCCCCCACTTCGCTAAACGGGGTGTGGGCATAGCCAGCACGTGATGCATCCGACCCATGGGCTGTGAGTTTGACACCCCGATATAGGGCTTGCAAAAATTAGAGGGAGGTGTGTTGGCTCAGCGGATTAAGATGCAGGGCTTATTGGCTGGAAAGCTGGCAGCCCAGGTTCAAGACCGATGATCTATGTGACAAGGTGGGCTCTAATCCTTGTCCCAAACTGCCAAACCAGCAGTTTGAAAGCATACAAATGTAAGCAGATAGATACCACTTCACCGAGAAGGTATCATAATATCATGCTGACTCCATGATGTCATGCTAAAATGTGATTTTTTCCCCCTTACATTTAATTGTGTCTCATTCTTGAAGACTTCCTGGATAAGACCCTCAAGTTTTTTGGGCAAGGTTTTTCAGAAGTGGTTTGCCATTGCCTCCTTCCTAGAGCTGAAAGAGAGAGTGACTTACCCAAGATCACACAGCCGTGTTGTGTGTTGTCTAATCCATGGCAGGACTAGAATTCATGGGTTGTAGCCTGATGCCTTAAACACTACTACATCAAAGCAGTTCTCTATAAATTCAATATTCATTGGATTGAGTACCCAATCATGCTCATCAAAGACAACATAATAGTGGTTGATAGCTGGAAGTTTTGCGTTATGCTTTTCTAGCTGAACTCAGTTGGAATGTCTATCCAGCATTCTCAGAAAAAAAGAAGATCCATGGGAAATAAGATGACAAAGAATACATAGCAGGACGTAGCATTGCATGCATAGAAGACATGACACATACATCCTAAATGTCTTGTATGGAGGTATCTCAAATGTAGGGTTCCTGAAGCAGTTTTTTTGTGCTCCTGCTGCAAAGCAAAAGCTGCCAACTTAGTCTAAAAAAACAAGGGTTGCTCTCAGTGGGATGCCTGGTGACTGCAGTTTTGCAATTTCCCCAGAAGCATTATGGAAATGATTTGTTGTTCCACACCTCCAGGATATTTTCTGACTTTAGCCCAGTCTAGTGCAAAGTACCAAGCAGGGCTCTTATTGCTTAACTTTCTCAGGATTAGCCAAGGTTGGATAATTGCTATTTTATGAAGGAAGTCTTTCCAGCAAAGTTCTTTGGGAGTTTGAGATCTCCTTTTTCAGCAAGGACTGATGAAGGATTTTCCTTCCAGATTAAAGGATCTGACTTCTCCCAGCTCCTGGTGCCCACTTCCTTCTGTTAAAAATGGGAAAGCTTTTTCATTTCCAAATCTCTAAAAATGCTTTGCTAGTATCAAAAGCCTTTCCAGATGATTGTTCATTTTCTGGGCCAATGTAAAATGTCCTGCAATCCCCCAGCCCCAGAGGCATTCAAAAGGATGTGATGACTTTCAGGATACTCATTGACCAGAAAATATATTTGCACAAAGCTAACCTGGTGCAAGAGGGGACATGGTGACTCAATGGCTAAGACACTGAGCTTGTCGATCAGAAAGATTGGCAGTTGGGCATTTTGAATCCCTAGTGCTGTGTAACCATTATTTGCCCCAGCTTCTGCCAACCTAGCAGTTCGAAAACACGTAAAAAAATGCAAGTAGAAAAATAAGGACCATCTTTGGTGGGAAGGTAACAGTATTCCATGCGCCTTCAATATTTAGTCATGCCGGCCACATAACCACAGAGACGTCTTTGGACAGCACTGGCTCTTCGGCTTTGAAATGAGCACGGTACGTGCAAGGGGAACCTTTACTTTAACCTGGTGCTGTTGAAAGAAATGCCCTTCTGGGTTCAGCTCCAACTGGGGAAAAAGACATTGGAGACATGGAGGCTGTTTGGAAAGATGGTTTAATGGTGGACAGGACACATGGCTTGAGTCCTGAACAGAAAAGGTGATCACATGCTTCAATGTTGGGTGAAGAAGAAGAGAGCAGAGGAGAAATAGCGAGGAAGGGGTTTGCTGGGCTTTTTATAATCTGTTCAGCCCCACCTCTCTGTTTCCTATTCCTGTGTAAGAAATGTATTCTGATTGGTTGTCAGACTCCCATGGGGCCATACAAGGGCTGTGTTTAGGATCCAGGTTTGGTTGAGTTCTCAGATGCTATGTGGTGAGTGGGTAAAGGTTAATCATGCCTTAATCCCATCACCCTGGAGCTAAAGGGGAGAACTCTTTATTATGTAAAGGGACTGGTTTGGGCATTTTAATGGACCATTGAGAAAGGGGGATGGGTAGGACGCTGCAGGGACTTACTCTGTCTTTAAAACATGTTTCTCACTTTTTACATCAAGGGAAATATTCTGCCTTTTCAATATTTCCTAGGATATTTCATTTTTCTGGGAGAGGGCTGGGTGATAACTTTCTGCAGTGCAAAGGTGAAATGGTGCCCAAAGAAACTGCATTTCTGCTATCACTTGTTGTGGCACCCAGATTTGTGGTTGTGCTCAATGGGTGTCTGTTTACAGTGAGTGCAGGAGGGGAGGGGGGAATACTAGAGAAGAGGGAGATGTATTAGCATCGCAGATAAAAACATCAGAATTAAACACCAATCTGCTATAATTTGCAATCATATACCTTAGACAATCCAAAGTACAAACGACAACATTTTGGAGCTAACACGACGGCCGTGATGCTTTAAGCCACAACGTAGTGCGTAAATGGTCCTAACAACTAAACTACGTGATGGCCTGGATCACGTGCGATAGATACCAGAGAGAGAGAGAGTTTTTATAGTAGCAGCTTCACTGGTAAGTGGTTCAGATCTGGGAATTACGAAGAGTGCATGTTCTGCTTCCGGAACGAAATCGAAGAGTAACTGCTATTGCTACCTTCCTCTTTATTCAATTAGACCGTCTCTTCCCCATCACTCCACTCCATTAAACTGCCAAGCAGCAGCATATTACCGCCTTTGATGTTTTCGAGGAGCTTAAAAGCCTGTTTCGTGACGTAGGCACAGAACCTCCAACTTGTACGTCGATTGGCTACAGGGAGCGGAGGCGGATACAGAACGTTGCTGTTTGTGTTTAAACGTTCCAGCGGGAGGGTGGGGTGAAGATCATGAAATAGGAGTGTGTGGGTTTTTTGGTGGTTTATTTTTTCCCCCGGGCGGTGAACAATCCCGATCGGAGGGAGAGATCCCGCAGAGCAGCTTGGATTTTGAAAGGCAATTCGCGATGGTGCCGTCGCGGTGCGTGAAAAGCGAGTACATGAAGCGCTTTAAAGAGCCGAAATGGGAGGCGTGCGGCCCCTGTTACCAGGAGTTACTGCGCTACCGCCTGAGTCGACGCCTCTTGGAACAGGCGCATCGGCCTTGGTTTTGGGACGATTGGGAGCAGGACATCAGCCTGAACGGAAGCAGCGGCAGCGGCAGCTCCCAATCGTCCCAGGGCACTTCCAGCCCTCTAGTTGTCCGGCAGCCGGAGGAAGAAGCGGCGCATCCTGCCGGGGAAATCGAAATCCCCGGCGGCGATCTGGGTCTCAACAGGATCAGCGCGGCCGGAGAGGATGTGGCTTCCAGTCCGGCGCCGGCGGAACCTCCCGGCGGACACGGTATTTGCTCCAATGCCTGGGGAATGAAGGATGGGCCGGAGTAGTGGGATGGCGGTAAACAGTCTGTTGGAGTGACTCAGTGGGGTTAATAATAGTCGAGGTGGTGGGGCTGAGCTTTGGGCTCCGCAGCTCAGGGCTCTCTATCTCTCTCTGCCAGGCAGGCCTGCAGTCATTAAGAGAAGCAACATAATAAAAAGAAAAGCCGTGATCCACGGCAGAATCGACCCGGGTCCCTCGGGGGACTCTGCATTTGCCTAAGGCAACCAAAGCGGTGGATCCGAGCGCAGAGAGCAGGTGGAATCGAGCTGCAAGCAGGCTAGGCTCGAACCGACTTAAAAAACAAGGGCAGTTCTCTACTGTATAGGCAGGCAAAGAGATTAAAATAAAACAAACAAAAAAGCCACAGTTTTCCTTTTCGGACAAAATTTGTCCGGATTTTTTTGCAGCCCCCGAGGCAACCTCCTGCGCCCCGCCGCTACCCCGCCTCGTCCTTGAGAGCCGCTGGTGTGGGCCTCTAGGCCGGTACCAGAGCAGCTCTACTCCCTCGGGTGAGGATGAGGAGGGCTGGGGGTGAGAGAGCGAGCCCTCCCCAAGACTCTGCAATGACCTTGAGCGGATAGCTAGGCCGTTTGCTTCGAGAAGGCAGGCCGTCGCCGGCCGGTTTGCCTGTGAACTGGAGGGCCGCTGGGAACCTAGGGTAGTTGGCCCCAGGACTCGTTTTCAGGGGCTTCCTTCGTGCAGCGGAGCTGGACCTCCGACTCTGAAGCGGGAGCTGAGTTTTAAAACCGGCCGAATTGCGAGGGGCGCGAAGGTTTTGGCTTAATGGGTCGCTTTACGCTCTTTCGTGCAGGGCAGGGAACAGGTAAGGCGTAAGGACCCAACGGCCTTTCCGGCTTTCTTGACGTCGGTGTCTTGCCACTGAGCGCGGATTATGGCCGAGTTCTCCTTAATGAGAACCCATCTGGCAGGGAACGGGCGAAGGCGGATCTGCCTTTCTTTTCGCAGGACGTTGCTTCCACAGCCCCACCTGCAGGAACCCGACTGGTGGGAGGAGGAAGCTGCTCTGGACTGCTAGGTTGTGTGGGAAAGCTTAATCCATATGGTTTGGGTGACCTTATTGCAAGGTGGCAGCTGGCTGGTTTAGAGATCTAATCACCCAGCGACGAACTGCTAAACTTCGATTCCCTCCCTCCCTCCTCATTGCATTGTTTTTTGAGCTTTAACCCCAATTAGGATCCATTACTCTCTCTCTCTCTGAGGAGAATATGTGGGTATACAGTTCTGGCCTTGTATTTGTTACTATGTATTTCAGCATGTTCCTGAACTTTAAAGAGCTTTCTTCAGCATAACTGCTCTGTGCTTTGTAGATTAAACACTGTCAAATGGCCTTATTTGAGTGGTAAAACAAGCTTCCTTTAAAGGTAAATAAAAGGTAAGCCCCTTGCTTTCTCTAAGTCACAAACTAACCATACTAACCCAACAGATGGACTGCTCTGAATCCAAGCTGGGTGTGGATCAGGTTTTGAAACCAATTGGTGCTAAAAATCAATAGGCTTACTTGTGCCTAACTCAGCTTGGTTGACTTCCAGTGTCCAGAATATGTCAATGTTAAAAGAAGATGGAACTCATTTATTTCATATGTTTGACAATGCCATCAAGACAGAATCTTCTCAGGGCAGCTTGCAACAAATGTAATCAATACACCCATAGTTGGAATTATATACAGCATAAAGTGAAACCACATATTTCATAAACTGCAATTAATTTGAAATATATTTAAATCTACCTTGCTTCATCAGAACATCTAACAGCTATTTGAAACTCTTCAAAGCCAACCTCATAGTATCATGAAAAGAATAAACAGATAATAGTAATAAAGTATTTTGAAACTCAGTCATATGATTCTTCTTCTTATAGAGAGATAAACAACATCAAAGAAATTAGCAGAAGAGCCAAGTATTTATCAATTTACATACATACCTCATGCTCCTGACAAAGCCAGCCTACCTTTCACTAAGGAATTCATGTCTCTGAAACCATTTTCAAAATTTGGCAGCACAGTTTCCTACTTTTAAAATGGGAAATATCTTAAGAACAGCCCTTTAATATGCTTAACATAAACAAACATCCCTTAACCTCTTAAAACCTAGAGGAGAAAACCATAAGAAATCCCAAATTTATGTCCCTAAAATAATTCAATGTGCTGTTCTACTGCCAAAATATTGTTCACCATGGTCTCAAAGACATCTTTGATTGGTGTTGTAAACAGAAATCCCACCCCCTTGATGATTCACAGTACATTTTCTGGTTCATTTGGAATTTTATTAGCTAGAAGAGTTGTGGTGGCTCAGTGGTTAGAATGCAGTACTGCAGGCTAATTCTACTGACTGCCAGCAGTTCGATGGCTCAAGTGACTGGCTCAAGGTTTACTTAACCTTCCGTTCTTCTGAGGTTGGTAAAATGAGGACCCAGATTGTTGGGGGAAATATCCTGACTCTGTAAACTGCTTTGAGAGGCTATAAAGCCCTATGAAGTGGTATAACTATCTAACTGTCTAAATTTAACTGCTATTACTATAGGTCCACTCAAAGTTTAGTTTCAGTCCATTTGTGAAATACATTGTCAAGGCTAGCACTTACTTTGCTGGCAGATAAAAACCAATTTTACAATAGGCTCTGAAATGCTAATATTATGAAATATGGTTCTCTTTCCATACAATCTGCAAAATAAAACAATGGAAGACATATGTACAATTGATGTACGTGGCATATATGATTATAAATGATAGTAGGGAGAATGATAACTGGGAAAAATTTCAATATAATGTTGCTAATTGTTTAAGGATGATGTTATATGATACTGGCTTAGATGACCCTTAGTCATTTTGCTGATGTCAGACTGATACCATGGACATTATTATATTTCTAATGTTAAAACTGTTGTTTAAGTAACCTTCTGTTACTCCCAATTATATGACTGAAATATAGCCTTCCCCATAGGCTTTCAATAATAAGAATCACATTTATACAACATATACTCAACAAGTGCAGTAGATTCTCAGATAAGATGGGTGATTTTCAAACTGAAACACAGCTTGCTGCTTATGTAAGTCATTGCCATGGTAGCATGCATTTTAAAAGTTGCATAAGCTTTTAGATGCCAGCCAAAAATAAGCAGGATTTGCAGATTTTTTTTCTGGGAGTTGTAACACAGCCCGAAATGACAGCAGCCAAGATGGAAGAGCACGTTTTTTCTCACATGGCACAATCTGTGGTCCTTGATCTGCTTGGGGAAAAGTACTGGAATATTGTATGACCATTTCTGGATGTCCTTCCTTTGCTGCTACAACTTTACTGTTTGATTTAGAATCAGATCTAACTCTGGTTCACTTCTCCATTCACCTATGAGGTTTGATGGAATAATATTTCTCAGACTAACCTATCTCACAGGATTGTTGGGAATGAAAGAAAATGGGAGGGATGACCAAATTATTGAAGGGCACAGTGGTGAGAATACAGTACTGCAGCTACTTCTGCTGACTGCCAGCTGCCTGGAATTTGGCAGATCGAATCTCACCAGGCTCAAGGTTAACTCGGCCTTCCATCCTTCCAAGGTTCGTAAAATGAGGACCCAGATTGTTGGGGGCAATATGCTGATGTTGTAAACCACTTTGAGAGTGCTGTAAACACTGTGAAGCAGTATATTAGTCTAAGTGCTATTGCTATTGTCTCCTTGGAAAAAGGGAAATTAAATGAATGAATAGGATGCAAACAGCTATTTCTCCTAAGGTGCAAATGTGGAATAAGAGAGAGTTAAAATGGGCCACCTTACATTCTAGATCTGCAATGGCTATAAAAGAGGGAACCGCTTCCTTCAATTCCAAATCAATCAAAAGAGTTATGCTGTAGATGAGATTCATTGTCTGCACTTTGGGCAGGCTAAAACAAAGTTCACTTGTCATTTTCTTCCCAGAGGTTGACGTTCAAGAACAATCGGAAGGGAAGGCTATTGTCAAGAAAGATGAAAGGAAAACTGCAGGGAAAGGAATCGACAGCTCAAGTTGTCCGCAAAAGCAGCCTTTGAGTCAGAAGAGTGCCTCCAGCAGGCAAGGTGACAGAAAAGGAGCAAAAAACCCACAAAGGACAGAAACAACATTGGAAATAAAACACCCTTTTGCTTTGTATGGTTGGGGTGAAAAGCAGACTGACACAGGCAGTCAGAAGACACACAACGTCCGAGCATCTGCTTCAGTAAATGAAGTAAGCAAAAGAAATATGTGTTTTAGGAAGATACTGGCTGGGAAATTCTGGGAATTGAGGGCCACCCATATTAAAGGGGCCAAGTTTAAAAAACACTAGTCTAAATATTTGGCTTTATGCTAACCCTGTGTTAGGCAGGGGATTTGCTGTCCAAGATGAACTAGCATTTTGCTGCTTCCCTGCCTTTGTGCTATGGGATGCTGAACACAATCAGATGCAAACTTTAAAAAAAAAACTTTTTTATTGTGTTACTTATTGGATAGGAAATCTAGAACATGTGGATCTAAGTTTGGAGTTTTCCTCTCATATTTAGGTTCCTGTGTCTGAAGCTAATTCCCTCCAGGGTAATTTGGAAATAACAAGCCTTGCTGGGTCATATCCAAGCATATCTAATTCCAGTCCCCCCAGTGGCAAGCCAGTTCCCAGGGGAAGCCTGCAAGCAGTATCCGGAAGCCTATTAATGTGCTTGGTACAAAAGGCATTGTTTTGCCCCAGAGGAGACACCCTGAAGATATAACTGATTGTTTCCTTGGGCTGTTAACATGTCAGGGTTAATCATAATCCCGTGGTACAAAATGGATCTAAATCCTTGTTTCTTGTTGATTCTGGTTTAATGAAAAGTTTTTTGTTTTGTTTTTTGGCTGCCATTTCAGTGCTGCTGTGGAAGGAACTCTCGATGCTAGAATTATGACTTAGCCCCTATCAAAATCAGCATAAGATATATGTAAAAACAGCAGTCAGGATGAGCACAAGTTTAGGAATGGCACAAAACATTGAAGTGCTGATGACACCACCTTGATAGGAACTTGAGTGCCATTGAGAAGCTGTAAGTTCTTGCAAAATAATGTTACTGTACTTCTGAGAGCGTTGTGAAGAAGAGAAAGTAGAAAAGGAAAGCCCTAACAATAACTATATACTGATTAAACCTCTATATATGCTATCTTAATCAACTAAAATTAATAACGGCATATTTACTTAAGTAAATATTAAGTATAAATGAACTTGAACCAATTTCCAAAAGTCCATGTGATGTAATGGCAATTTCTACTCAAGTAAAATTAGTGGTACCTATAGTAAGGACTGATCAAAAGATATGCATTTTTGCTCTGAAGATGTGAGAGACTGTGGAGTTTGACAAAGGAGTACATTCATACAGTATTTATGAACAGATAAGAAAATATTTGTAAAAAACAGGGAATTCAGCCAACCATATTTCAGCTTCATAGGTTCTGTAATGAACTACTGTAGCTTGTTGTCTCTGTTCTTCCTTTCCTGTGAGTTAGTCTGCCAGCTAGGACATCTTGTAATAATGATATTTTTTATGTTCACCCAAATGAGAAAACTTAATAGCTTGGAAACAAGAGGGAACGTAAAATGAAATTGAAGTGAGTTGTTTATATTGTTATTAAGCTATTAACTACAGCTTTCTAATTTGGAAAACAATGGGGCAATACATGCTGTTAACAGAAAACCTTCTTGGTTATAGTTGGCCTAGACCAGGGGTCGGCAAACTTAAACACTCAAAGAGCCATTTGGACCCGTTTCCCACAGAAAAGAAAACACTGGGAACCACAAAGGTCCTAACAGGAAGCCCCCCTGTTCAATTCTGGAACTGACCAGAAGTTCAGTTCCCCCACCATAGAGTCTCTCCCCCCCTCCATCGGAAGCTCCTCTCAAAATTGTGACACTGACTGGTGACGGAACCACAGCAGAGGGAGGAAAGAGCCACATGTGGCTCCAGAGCCGCAGTTTGCTGACCCCTGGCCTAGACCAAGAAGCAGATATATGAAGAAATTCATATTTTGACTTATTAAGCTGAAATATGGTTATCCAAGCATGCATAATATTCTCTAAAACATCTTGCTGCCTCAATAAAAGCAGAGCTATCCATAACGATCCAAAAGATCTTTTGCACAATATCCATTGATCTTATTTGAGTAATGTTTCATAGAATGCCCATGCCATGTGGTCATACCTATGAGAAAAGCTAACAAACAAGAATCGTATATGTTTCTGGTGCCAGGCCCAATTTTAAATAAGAGTAAATACTATACAATAGAAATGGTCTGTCAAGGAGTTGTAACTTGAATGCAAGGTAGGAAAGCCCCTTCCTCAATTCCTAAGTGTGAAAGCCAAGCACCCAGATAATAATGTTATCACATTTCTTGCCTTTGCAAAGTCAGGGTGTGTCCTAAGCGTGACTCATCTGGCCTTCGGGCCGCCAGTTTGACGGGTCTGTTGTATAAGCTTCCTGTTGCAATTCTTGGTTTGATTTATAAGCAGGTGACTGAAATCCATACTGGTGAAAAGTCAGTTCATATTGATCAAAGGGAATCCAGAAAATTTGTTACTAGTTTTAGATAAGATGGGGAATTTAGGAACCAGTTTTGGCCATATAAAAGTATTGATCTCTTCCTAGATGACTTTTTTTTTTTAAAAAAAGTGAAAGCAACTTTGTTTTTCTTAAGGAAAATGGATAACACAGCTGAATTGTTCAGCAAGTGCAAGGTGCTAATTGCTTTTTTTTTTTAATTAAGGAATGTTTTGAATAAGACATAAGCCAGTCTTTCCTTGAGTTATTTTTGTTTCTAGTGAAAATTAATCTCTGTTAAGGCAAGGGAACCAAAACAAGTATCCTAGCACAGAGTATTTTTTAATGGTATTGTACTATTATTTCATAATATATGTATTCTATATCAAATTAAGCCACAAAGTCTGTGTGCTTTTATCCAGATGTCTGTATGTCAAATGCTACTTTATAGGCACAGTTCACCTATTAATATTGTAGTTTTTAATTTTATCTATTTCTATGATTTCTGGATTTTTATTTTATTTTTCTGTTTAGCTCCTCTCATAATGTAGCTAAAATTATTAATTATGATACTGATAGGTCTCAATTATATTGCATATTATTTTGATAGGAAATTGTCCAGAGTTGGTTGAAAGATAGATGGCTATATAAATGTTTAAAATAAATAAAAAATAAAGCAATTAGGCAGTACTAGTAAATATTAACAGAACTCTTAGCATAGAATAACTATTGGTTGGTAACTTCAGGAGTAATCATTCACAAAATTGAAAAGCAGAATAGGAATACATTAAACTTTGCATATTTTGTGCAAATGTTATGAAATAGGACTAACAGTTGAATTTAATAAGCCACCTCTTACTGAGTGAAATATTCATAAAAGGAATCTATATAATGCAGTATATTTCAAACTTGGCAACTTTTAAGATGTGTGAAATTGCTGGCTGGGGAATTCCGGGAATTGAACTCCATACATCTTAAACTTGCCAAGTTTGAAAAGCACAAATATATCAAAATTCCAAATTAGTATTTAGAAGACTATTTGGACATGACTTTCATCAGGTGATTTCAAAGCTGTATTTTTTACAACCCTTCCTCCCTATTTTTAAACTGTCTCTGCAGATACACGAATCTGCATTAAGAGCAAAGAACAGAAGACAAGTGGAAAAAAGGAAGTTACCACAAAGACGGGTACACCCAGCAGAAGTAGAAAGAACATGGACAACCAAGCCTTCAGGTCCAGACAGTCCATGGGTGACAGAATACATGAGGTGTTACTCAGCACGAGCTCGGTGATTGGAGTTCTAAATTTTTTAAAATTCAGAGTGCTTTGAAAACAACTAGGACACCGGTAGAAAACTCCAGACTATTATGCAAGGGTTTTCCATTTTTTATCAACGGGTTTTTCCAGCAGTTTGTTACATTTATTTATATTTTAACTACTTAACCTTTGCAGCAGCAGCAGATCCATATTGATGAGAATTATATTTAACAATATAGGTCCCTTACTAGATTTATTTATTTATTTTTTAAGGAAAATGTCAAGAATTTACCTTCGGACGAAAAAACTAAAATTGAGTAATACATTTTTAAATCAAGCAAGTCAATATTTTCTTGAAACGGCTTTTTTCTCTATAGTTACTGAATTATACCAATCTTGTGCCAACAGAAAAGTGGTTGCACTAGAGTTACATTGAAAGCATCCAACTTTCAGTGCAATTATTGTAAAAATAATCATGAAAACTTGACAGCAATGGATTTGTAAAGATTCTTTCTGGACAAATGAAGGTCTCATTAAATTATGATATGAGCTGATTGGCAATAATTTATAAAAGGACTGCACACTTTACAAATTAGCAGGTAAAAAAATGTTTTGTGGAAGCTGACCATTGGATTCCTTAGACAACCCATTGTTTCCTCACTGGAATGGCCAAAACGAGATTTTTGTTTATCCAGCTTAATGAAATCACAATGTGGACTAAAAGACATGAGTATTTGCAGAGGTATCTGTCGAAGACCTATACCTGGAAATGTTAAGACTGTTTTTAGAACAAAAAAAAAATCTCCTTTTCATAAAGGTATAGTGACTTTTGAGGTTTACATTCCTGCTGTAGATGTTGTGACCATACAAAATTGGATATTTTGGTGCAATAGATTAGTAATATCCTGTGACTGTGGTTTGGAACATTTGCTATCATGAACCCATTGTACCAAATGATAGATAGACAATCGTTAACTATGATGGGCTAATGACTAGTTTGTAAAGTAAATGCTTTTAAACATTTTTTGTAGTAAAATGCTTCATTTTGAGCGGACTTACAACACATTCAGTGAAGTTTTGTTAGATGCGGCTTCTGCACAGTGACTTTTATAACATTAAAACACTGAATTTGTTTCATTTGCCTGTTTAATCAAGCTGGGTTATATGCTGTGTCAAAACTCAGGTGACATTGCAAATTTTGCTGTATTCCAATGTATCACACATTTCTGGGTTTTTTTAAAGTGATTTTCTATAGAGGAAGAAGCCATTGGCAATCATGAAAGTGCAACATACTTGAAAGATTGTACCACAGAGTGAAACTACCTGTGATTTCTAACTTTGAAATAAAAGATTATTCAGTCTCAGTAACTCTTCAGATCTTGAAAAAATTGGCTTTAAAGATACAGCAAATGTAGAGCTTTATAAAACCTGTTGTTAATCAATAGTAAGACCTTAAAACTCATTTTTCAATTCATTTTTGCTCAGAACAAATTGTTTGCTCTGAATAGATATATTCATTATATTTAGATCCTGTCTTTTTTTCAGGAGCCAAGAAAAAGCCTGCACTCATTGCATTGACTTTCTACTTTTTTCCTTGCAAAATATCCTATGGGTGAAGGGCTGAAACACTCCCCACCCCCCAAAAAAAACCAATCCCCGGTCCAAAATAATCTAGTGAGCTTCCAGTATTGCGGAAAGTGAAACTGGTTTCCAATCCAACATTTCAACCACTATACTGCAAATATCATTTTACCTCTACTATGGTTGCATACAGTGGCTTTATTTCCATTTATAGGTAGATATAATTGAACTTTGTTTGGAATGGTACTTTGTTTCCTCAATCTTTCTAGTATTCCTTCAGTTTATAAAATTAATGAATTTGGACAGTATGTGGCTTCAACATAAAACGCCTATCACTCATGCACCAGAGAGTGACTAGAAAATGTCAAGAAAATCCTAGGGCTTGGAAAAGTACCGTAAAACCCACACCTCAAAGGGCATCTTCAACACCAGCTTTTTGAGAGTAGAGCATGTATTATAACTATGCACTGCTGATTAGTGAGAAGTTGGAATAGAAGGTAAAAAATATCTGGAGGAATAGAACATCAAGCGCCCGGCTGAACACAGTTTCAATCTGCCGATTTAGATATTTTTTGTTTGTTTAATAAGCTTTAGTATGGGAACACAGTCATAAAATAAAGTGTGTAACTCTCTTTATCTAAATGCTGATTTATGCAGTTGTGGTTCTTCCAAACAGTGGGTCTGTTCAGCTTTCGGTTGACAAATGCATGAACTTGCAAATGGCACTTTAATGTATATATCAACTATTCCAAGATATGTGTACTTTTGAGATAATGTGCACTGTGGATATTTGCCTTTGTATGTACTTGTGTTCAAATATTTTCCCATATCTCAGTTGAACAATTATTCTTTTATTTAATGCATTTCTTACTCACTTTTGAAGAATGACGTCTTCCTAACTGGAGCAAATGACCACTCATGAATGCTTCTTTTTCTCTCTTTCTCTTCACCATAGTAACGAGTGAATGTCTTTAATAAATTAAAGTTGCTTTTCTCCACTCAAGCTTCTCGTTAAATCTTTTATATTTGCTGCTTATCCTCTGGTAAGCCATACTATATAAATATGAACATATAGACTAGGACAGTAATATTAGCATTGGTTAAAATGCAGTAGTAAATTAGGTAGATTTTAAGTGTCGAGAAGTTTCCTCTTTTGCTCACCTTAATACCAGCAGAAAAATAACAGGATGTATATCCCTGCTGCTTGAAATACAGCCATTCTCAAAATTGCTACAAAAATCCTTGCTAGGTGCTATTCCCCCGGCTCTAGCAGTGGTTCCTGCTTCAGTTGGAAATCACTAATCTTAAACATTTAAAGTGAAATATAGACATCTACTGAAATCTTTGTTTATTCCAGAATGGCGTTAAAAATGAGCTGTACATTTTTTTTTAATCTAAAGTGCACTGAGAGTAACCATGCCAGAGATAAAACGTTATGCATTGGCTCATGAAAGTAGAGCATACATTGTACTGACATTACTCCTTTTCATGTAACATCAGCATTGGAAGGAAATGTTATATGGGCCTGTATCAATTTTTAACTTAGGGTTAACTGGACCAGGATAATAGCCTATTCCTTCATGAAGCATAGCTCAAAGTCAAACTATAGTTTGTACCTGGGGCAGTTTACTGAGCCCTAAGAGATGTTAATCAAAGGGAAAGCATTTGGCTGAAAGCCATAAATTTGACAGTCACTGTTCTTATGTGCAATCTAAAAAGAATGAAGGAGTAAGGAGGTTAGAAATCAGAGATATATGTATACATTCAATTCACTTTAAAGCCTGAAAAAATTAAGCTTGGAGCAGTATGTGGCTTAGAATGTTTCTAAATGGTATGTTTTTCTCATATTTTTGTGGTCTTTAATGTAAGTGTACTCACCATGGTTTTGAATATGTGAATAAAAGACTTGAAAAATTCAAACAAATCACATGGCTATATTTAAATTATATATAAGTCAACTCTGACTAAGTTTGAGAAAAAATGTGCAAGGAATTTTAGAGATTAGACAGCTTGCTTTTTTCACCCACTTCTCCTTTAAGTAGTAGGTTCATCTCACTTTAATTAGAAAAGTTATTCTACTATTAAGAGGTAAAATAGACCAGATAAACCTTCATCAAACGGTTCCATGTTTATTTCCAGACTAGGAACAATGATCCACATCCAAATGACAATAGGCTGCATGCATGATTCAAGCTGTTAGCAAGTGAGTTAGCTTGTTCCACAAAGTATATCAATGCAGTATTTGTTATTTTGCATCAATTGTCATAATGCAAATGATGTCATTTGCATAACATGCAAATGATGCAATTGCATAACATGCAAATGATGAATATTGCATCATTTTCATGAAGACATGATTATACAAATTGCCAAGGAAATGAGGTCCATTGCATGCAAAGTCCATTGAATTGAGTTTTCACTATATGCTGAGTTCAATGGTTATCTAATATTCAGAAAGTATATGCTTAATATACAGAGTTTATCAAAATTGCCAATACAATTGCCAAGAGAAAATGATATTGGTTAGAATTCAATATTTTTACCTTCTTTTCACCTTTTTAAAAAATAAATCAGGAATGTACTATTTTTTATTTAGCATTGTTTATCCTCTTAAATGACAGAAAAAAGTCCTTTAAAGCTCTATTTCAGTGTTTTTCAACCTTTTTTGTGCAAAGGCACACTTTTTTCATGAAAAAAATCACGAGGCACACCACCATTAGAAAATGTTAAATTTTTTTAACTCTGTGCCTATATTGACTATATATAGTCAATGTGTTTTCCCCACGGCACACCTTACACTATGTCATGGCACATTAGTGTGCCACGGCACAGTGGTTGAAAAACACTGCTCTATTTATTCATCAATTCACCTGATATTTGTGGTAGGGGTGACCAATCACAAGTCATACAATTAGTCATATGAAAGTTTTTAAACAAAAATGCCCTGTTTAGTTTTCAGGAACATGCTATGGTGCCAAAGACTATTTTTTTCTTGCATTGCCCAAGGGAAATGATGTGACTCTACCAAGAAAACAAAAACTCTTTTAAGATTGGATTCTGAATTACCAAAAGGAAATCTGAAATCAGTACAGAAATTACATTAGTAAGGACAAACCTTTGGTAAAACAAACCCATTCTATGTACAGGTAGTCCTCAACTTACAACCATAATGTCCTTTGATAAGCAAAGCAGTTGTTAAGTAAGTTCTGCACAATTTTACTACCTTTTTTGATATGGTTGTTAACTGAATCACTATTAAGTGAATGATAGAATTGTTAAGCAAATCTGGCTTTCCCCATTAACTTTGCTTGCAGACTCGGTCTTGGAAAGTTATAAATGATGATCACATGGTTCCCTTTTATAATCATTGTAATCCATGTTGGTTGCCAATGCCTGAATTTTGATTATGTGACTGTGGGATGCTGCAACAGTTATGTGAGGACTGGTTGTAAGTTACTTTTTTCCAGTGCTGTTGTATCTTTAAATGCCCATTAAATAAATGTAAGTTGTAAGTTGAAGACTGTCTGAAAGTATAGCAAATAACAAACTGACATTGTGTACAATATTGCACTTGTCTACATAGCTTCAGGTTTTGCCAAAGCTCTTGGACTTAAGTTATGATCAAAATCTGCATTTGCAGCACGGGGTTTTCAATAAATATAATAAAGCCTTACATATTGAGAGAATACTCTTCACAGAAATTAAATGTAGAAAAATTGAACTGAGTGTACAATTAGAAGAAGTGAATGCATGTCACACAAGGAAGATGTTATTGATTTGGATAAAAATTATTTGTGTGAAAAGTCTGATTAGCTAGAAAATATAATTATTTAACCATATTCTTCCCCCAAAAGAATGCCACATTAACAGATGTAAACAAATTTGGGGATTTTGTTGAGTAACATTTCTGTAACATTAAACATTTTCATAGTTTGGAAACTCTGCATTTTTAAGTATACTATATATTGTGCTTTTATTTTTAGACACAAATGCCAATAACATTCTGCCTTGAGCACAAATATGGGTGCTGAAACTCCTGGAGTTATTTCTGGAACTAAACTAACAGAGGTAGCAATTCAGCATCCTTGTATTAAAAACTTGCAGTATCCCCGTTCCAGAAGCCGGTGTCATTTGGAAGAGGCCACAATTCTGGGATCCAAAATGCCCCCAGCTTCCAGGATGGCACCTCATGGCCTCTACACAGGAAGGTTGGGCAGTGGCTTGGCAATTCTCCTTCCTGAAGACCACGCTCAGAAAAGATAAGTGAAGAGTGATAGGGGAAAGACCCAAGGGTGGTATGGGGCTGTTGCAGCATCTCTGTGATTAATCGTAAGGGTGGACAGATTGCCAAGTGCCCAAATTTTGTTCAGTGACCATAGAGGCGCTGCAGTGGCTGTAATCTTTTGGATAGGAGTTGTAATTTACTTTGTTTAGTGCTACTGTAGTTTTGCATGATTGCTGAACAACCGGATGTAAGTCAAGGACTACCTATATGTGAAAGTTTTAGTGTTGAATTCAACTGCCTTTTTAAAACTCTTGAGTGGCGAATTTCCTATTACAAGAAAAGCACAGGATTTACAATGCCTCATTTTCCTGTCTGGCTCTCAAGTTTCCTTCTGGGTGCAATTCAAGATGCTAATTATTCCCTCTAAAGCCCTATAAACAAGAGTGGGATTGAAAAAAAATAGCAACCGGTTCTCTGCCTGGTTGATGGGGTGGCATGGCCATGGAGTGAGGGGGCCATGTCCTACCCTGCCTCCTGCACCACGGTGGGTGGGGGCATTTTTGCTCTCCCAAGGCTCCAGAGGCTTTCCTTGAGCCTCTGGGAGGGCGAAAATGGCCTCCTCCCCCAGGCTCCAGAGACCTTCCAGAGGCCAGAAACAGACCTGTTCCTGAAGCTCCGGGAGACATGTTTTTTGTCCTCCCAGAGCCTCCATGCGGGCCCTGCACTCACCTGACATGATGAACACGCTGTATGGAGACTCCTAGGAGTGAGGGATGGGCGGGGCCAGTTAGTCCTTCCAATTACTGGTTCAGCGAACCAGATGCAAAATTAGTATCCGGTTCATCTGAACCGGTCTGAACCAGCTGAATCCTACCCTTGCCTACGTAGCAGGACACCAGGCTTATTTCCAGGACCATTCTCCCTAAGGCTATTTACCTGTCCTACTAGATCAGAGAGCTAGGCATGCTTCTGGTCTCTTGCTTTAAATATTGCCATAGGATCTAGGAAGTGCACCTTTTTCATGTCAGCTCCTGTTTAATGGAATACCCTCCCCCCCACTTTAACCTTCTGAAAAGCACTCAAGAGGTGAGTTCTCCCCCAAGCACTGGGCTAGAGTAAGATGAATGTTGGGATGAATTTGTTGTGGTCTGCATGACAAAGTTTAGCTGTTAACATTTTTATTTTATTGTAGATGTTTTATTTTGGTTTTGGGAGCTGTTCAGTTTGGTTCAAGACGGGTCACTATAGAAATGTTTTAACTAACTAAACTTTACTGTAAAGTTAGAAAGAAAAACATGTGAAATGGAAAGCCAGTGGCTGGGAATTTTAATACTTATCCAGCTAGTATTTTTTTAAAAAAAATTCTACTTATAAGAAAAATAAATGAGAAAGATTTAGGGAGAATTTGTGAGTGTAAAAAAAAAAAGATCATGTCTTATCTTGCCCCAGAGCTTCCTTTTAATTCTGCATTTTGATTAACTTACACATAAACAGCTGATTTTGATATAAGCAGGCCTGTAGCATATCAATTCTAATAGAAACAATGCTTTAATAACTGCAGATACAGTATCTAGCTAATGATACCAACCTAACTTTAGGCCCAAAGGAACAGAAGTTCTAAGCAAGCAAAGTTAGAATTTGTGAAATGCTGTTTATTAAATTAATTGAGGAGGAAAAAAAGGAGAAGAGCAACTCATTACGACTCGTGTTGTATTCACAAGTGGGTGGGGGGAGAAAAAAAAGGAAAGGGAATCCGTCCCACAGTATGCCTAGATATAACCACAAACTGTGATGCTGCAGTCTCCATCGAAAACAATGCTAGCAATACAAAAGGCACATTTCTGCATAGTAGCAATAAGCATCCTCAATGCTTTACTCTTTTGCCACTATCTTCCCCTACTCTTCATTTCCTAGCCTACCCAACGTTAATACCGAAAGAAAACATTTATTCTACTTATTCCACATAATGTTTTAAAGGAAATATTACTATACATGAAAGTTCAGAGGAAAAATTGTTAACAGCAATCTGTAGGAAGACTATCAGAATGCCGGGAGCAGCTTCAGAATGGCCAAGACCTGATATTGCTCTTCCCTGAAATTTAAAACACAAGGTTACTTTACAATAGCTCTAAAGGGGAGGAGGTAGAGAAAGGACTGCCAATGATACATAATAGATGGATCCAAGGAGATCCACTTAAGTGGAAAGTATCTCCAAGCTTCTTTGGATTCTTTTTCTTTCACCTTAGGAAAGCATTAGCAAATCCACAACAAGAGGCAAAACTGTTTCTTGAAAGCCATTCAAAACATCCATGCTGTTTATACTCATGCTATAAACTCAATACACATCAATATAGATACTTATGCTAGTAAATTTTGTTATCATTTTTTTCAATTGTTAAGTACTAAGTTCAGATTTTGTTCTAGACTAGAGCAACATACTCTTGCAATGTGATTAATTTGCCAACATCAGTACCCTTTATTCTTGCTGACTTTATCTTTTTGAAAAACAAATGGGAAGTGAAGATTCCCATTTATCTCTATACTTAATACTAACTTGCCTAACCCATATAATCAATTCACCATGACCACAAAAAAAGACCAAAACTGATTTTACCCAGATATACATAAAAAAAACTCCCACCATGACTCATGTTTTACCACAAAGGGATTATAAATTTGGTGAACAGATAGAT